TTCTGTATTTTCTCTCTTTTTTTGCTCCCAGGACCTCCATCTGCAGCCGAGAACCCCATCTCCACCCTCAACGACACCTCTGTGACTTTAGAGTGGAGTCCTCCCAGAGACAGCGGCGGCCGAGGGGACGTCACCTACAACGTCCACTGCAGGAAGTGCGCCAGTGACGGCAAGACATGCAGCCCCTGCAGCAACAGCGTCCACTTTGTACCTAGACAGTTTGGTCTCTCAATCCCTAAAGTGTTGATCACGGACCTGCTGTCCAACACCAACTACACCTTCAGCATAGAGGCGGTGAACGGAGTGTCCGATCTGAGCCCAACCCCTAAACAACAAGTCACTGTCAACATCACCACCAGTCAGACAGGTACATTGTGTCTTTTCTTCCATGATAATGTTTAAATGTTGCTTGGTATCTATTTTTGTTGCATTGTGCCCTCGGTGAAATCTGATGGTTTAAAACCTAACATCATCTGACTGGATCTGACTGAAATTTTGTCACTTCATGCAGCATTTTGCTAGACTGATAAATTATTCAGTGTTCAAATGTTGCATCGTGTTGGACCTGGTTAGGATGCAATGTTACACTTTGAATGCCAAAGCTGGCACAACGCTACCTGTTGATAAACTAGAAACCAGCATGCCTGAGGTAATTGTTTTTCTGTGAAGAGGTCCTCATTAGATTTCCATAAACATAACACACTTCAAATGATTTTTGCAGTCAATGTTGGTGTGTCTCTGTTTCAAGAGAGGTAAATAATGTCTCTCTTTTCAGTTTTTCTCCCTTTCTTATTCAAAATGTTATACATCCCAAACCTTTACTCTTGACAGTGAAGGTTATCTGTTTTATTCAGTGAGATCTCTAAAAACTCTCCAGTGTTTGACAGCCCTTGAGTCTAGTGTGTGTTTGCGTTTGTGACCTGGTCTTTGTGATGCAGCGTATTGTGAATTTTCCCCGGCGATGTTGCTCAGCTCAAGGTCCCAGCATTCGATATCGGACAAAGTAGAGGCTCGGTACAGCCAGAGGGTTGTTGTTCGACCAGATTGGCATTTGCAGATTCCCATCTCTCTCTCTCACACACACAACCTCTGTGGAAGTTCATAAGTTCATAGTAATCCAAATGCTCTAAATAATACATGTCATCGAATATGTTATCTAAAGTCAGGACTCATGTGAAAATGTGCTGAAGACACAACTGCCCTCACAACTTCCTGTCTCACACCTCTGATGGGCTGACAAGGGTCATCATCAGTGCAGGCGTGTTCTCATTAAATGTGTGTTTGTGAATGTGTATATGGTGGTTTTGGGCCTTGTGTAAGGCTCCGGTTGAGGTATTAAATATGTATGAAAGTGTTCGGGCTGTAGAGGGAAGCTCTTGAGCAGAACGGGCACATGCTGAGAGAGAAGCGCTTAGTGTCGGAACAGGGTCAAAGATCCCGATGATTTATACATTCAGCCACGTCAAAGCATGAACCAACATGAATCCGAATATTATATAGTTTCGAGCAATTTAGGAATTAATGCTTCTCATAAAATGCACATTTAATGGCACTCTTCAGAATAAAACTTCCACAAAACGTTTTTTTTTTTTCAGCCTGATGCAATGGGAGATGCATTTTAAATGACCACAATTAACTTTTATTTATTTTATTGTGTTTATTTATTTCATAATTTGTCACTTTCTAGTTCTTTAGACAGCTAAGTAGTTTATATCAGTGTTTCCCAACCGGGGTGCCGTGTAAAAAATCTTTTTTTAATATTTTTAAATTGCTAAAATGTTCAAAAAAGCATCTATTATATAATATCCATTTCTGATGTCGCCAATAATTAGAGAAGCACCGAAATTCCGGCTGCTGAAAATTAGTTCACCGAAAATTAGTTTCACTTTCACGTGGTGTGAAAAAAATAAAAATATTAAAAATATCTGACATATATATATATATATATATATATATATATATAGCCTATATATATGTGACACATTCTGCAGTTCTTCCCTGCTGTACCGAATTTCGATACTTTTCAAAGTATCATATTGAAGTTAGAAATTCAAATATTGTGACAAAATTTATTTTGTAGGGTGCCACAAGTTTGTTAAAATTTCCAAAGGGTGCCGCGACTAAAAAAAGGTTGGGAAACACTGGTTTATATGTACTAGTGTTTTAAAACACAGCAAGCAAGAGCAAATCAAGAACCTTATATAACAAAATAAAACATAATAAAAATGTAGCCGTAAAGGTAAAAAAAAATGTTATTTAAAATGAATAATCAATTTAAGAATCAAATTAATAATTTTCTTTCTTTCTTTGCATTTATGTTTTTAATGAATTAATGAATTCATTTAGTTTTATGAAGATCAATAAAATCATAAATTCTAGGCCATCAGATTTTGCATTATTAATTTTTAATTTAATTATTACATATTTTTTTATATATATGATATATTATATACAAATATATTATCAAGTAAGATATTTTGGAAATCAAAAGTAGATACAGTATTGTTTAAAATTTTAAGTGGTAGAAAAATACAGTAAAACAGTAATATTGTGAAATATTGTTACAGTTTGACAGCTGTTTTCTATTTTAATGTATTATGAAATTAAATATATGTAATTAATTTATTATGAAATTTCTTCACTTCAGTCTCACATTACTTCAGATATCATTCTAATATGCTGATTTAGTGCTTAAGAAACATTTCTCATTATTATCAATGTAGAAAACAGTTGTGCCGCTTAATATTTTGGTGAGAACTGTGATTTTTTAAATAGAAATATACAGTCTTCAAGGAGTTTCTGTATTTGTGTGTGTGTGTGTGTGTGTGTGTGTGTGTGTGTGCATGTCTGGTGTAATTTTGAAGGCTGTTCACAGATCTCAGAGCACAGAAGAGGTGAAGGACACCAGGTGAATTTACCTCCAACCATCTGACCAAATATCAGACCCGCTGTCTCTACTGCAATCTCCCTCCCCCCTTCTCATTCTCTTTCTGTGTCTGTCCTGCTGTAGTGAGAGAGATGAAGGGACAGACGAGAGAGACAGAGAAGGTGTTAGACTGTATTTCAGAAGTGTAATTACCTGCTGTTGTGTGGCCCCCCTTTGTCTCTCTTTAGACAAAGGTTTCACTTGTGTGTCTGTGTGTAAAGCACTCTCAAGTCTGTAATGGATTGTAAGATGGCTTTATTTTGTATCAATAGAGGTGTAACTGGAATAAAACCATGTGGGTCAAGAAGCTGCGATTGAACTGAGGTGGTCTTGAATACGTATAGATATAATTGTACCATGTTGTATGCAAAAAGGAGAAATCTCTCTCATTGTGGCTCTGTCTCACTCTGTTTGCAGTGAATGTGATCCTGAAGGAGAGAAAGAGTAAAGACAGTATCACACTGGCCTGGCAGGGACCCGACAGACCAAACGGAGTCATAGTGGAATATGAAGTCATCTACTATGAGAAGGTACATCTAATCTCATCTCCTCTCCTCTCTTCTTATTCTCTCCTGTTTTATTTCCATCTGCGCTACTCTAACAAGCAGAGTTATCATCCTCACATACAGATTACAAACATGCTTCTTTGACCTCCATTAAAAGCTGTAACGATTGCAGTTGTCCAGGCAGCCCTGGCATGTGTAATTGAGGGCTGAAGCATCATCGTGCCTTTGGGAATGAAAGCAATCAGTAGACCACGTATGCCACAGCCGACTGCTCACACATATACGCATAGCTCTTTAATTATAACGGGAGAATGAAACCAGGGTTGACGTCACTGATCAAAGAGAATACCTTCACTGAAACACAAGTGTATACACAGACTCTCAAACACATCCAGACTAAAGGAGAACATGCACACACATTTGTTAATAAGTAATGAAATCAAGTCTGTGTGGGTTAAAGATATAGTCCATACAGAGATTAATGTCCAGTATTTTTGTTTTGTTTTGTTTAGAACCTGTTGTACACATTGAACAGGCTGAATAATATCCAACATTTAAAAGTTGTATTTTATTTTATTGAACATGTTGTACACATTGAATGGGCTGAACTCTTTGTATTTACTCTATTCTGAACTCTATGTTTATTTCTTTTTTATTGACATCTCAGATCAGAGGAAATTTTATTAATCGATGGATGGATTTTGTTTGTTTTATTGAACCCGTACACATTGAACAAGCTGCACCTCATTATATCCAATATTTTATTTTAGTTTATTTTATGTTTTATATATTGACATCTCTGGTCAGAGAGAATACCTTCACTGTAACAGACCTGTACACACACACACACACACACATATCCAGACTAAAGGGGAACATGCTGACACACAGTTGTTTATAAGTAATGCAACCAAAGCTGTGAGGCATAGAAATATACAGTACATCCAATAATTCCTATTATATTTTATTCAATACATAATAATAATACATTTAAATAAAAAATACATTTCAGTTATATATATATATATATATATATATATATATAGTTGTTGTTTTTTTTGTTTTTTTTCTGATTTACACATATTGAACAGTTTGCTTTTCTCTCCCTAACTCAGCCTCGTTTTCATTCCCATCAATTTAAATATGGCATCTCCTCTAAGATTTATTCTTAAGATTTCAAAGCATACTGTCTGGTCTCAGGCAAAAGTTTTTTTTTTTACATCAATCCTGCACAGATGCAGTCGCACTGACCCAGTCTAGTCTGGCACACATACTGGTTGCTGTGCGATTATGGGATGTCAGCTCAGACTGAATGCCCAGATGGGTGTCTGGCATTGGAAATCATGTGGTTCATGCTGTGTTTGTTGGAACTGGAACGATCCCACGCCCTCAGAAACAAACCTGCTCTGCCCTCCTACATTCTGGGTGTGGTGGACAGAGACCAAGTCTTTCCCAGAACCCATTTGGTTATGAGATGCTCTTTAATATTTGGAAGAGATTTATTTATTTTGAAAGGGGTTTTGGCTCCATCGCCGGACTGATTCAGTGACTGGTAGCTAGTGGCTGATTCCTTTTGTCCATTCTAGGTTTATATAATCAGTTTATAAGATCATATTGCAATATTTTGTTAGACTTTTTTAGACTTGTGTACCTTGAATGCAAGTCACTTTGGATAAAAGCATCAGCCAAATGTGTTAATGTAAGTGTAATGCATAGCCAGACTGCTGACTATAAGTCAGCATCAGTCAGCCATATCCAAACTAGCGCTTTCAGCCAGCTCTTGCCATTTTTGTGTACAATATGCATCAGAGAATATGTGAATCTGCCATGTTAAGTGTTAGCTGGCAGTCTTGGTAATTACTACAAAATTAATCAACACAAAATATTGATAGACTCACATTCACACACCACTGCAGATGTCTGACTCATGTAACTATAATCACACCAATAATCATGTCAAACAATGTAAATTAAAGCTTTGCCTGGTCTGTTAGCACCCCAGCATCTGCCTCTATGAAGTGTACTGGCTACAGTGTTAACGTGCTGCTGAAATAATATCCTTCATTAATCCTCTTATGTCATATTCTACTGCACAGCCTCGAAATTCTGCTGCTCTACATGCTGCACATCAATGCTGCCACCCTGCCGTTTACCTGAAGCAGCTTTAACAAGATTGAATGGTTAACATTGTTAGCACAGCATTGCAGCAAGACTTAACAGAAGGCTTGTTAACTTTTATAATTTCATACAGAAATGTCTGCTGAAAGAAATTGCAGAGAAAGTGTGATTTTAAACTGTTTGTCAGTATTACACTACCGTTCAAAAAGTATTTTATTCTGCAAGGATGCATTCATTTGACATGGTTTAAAAATATATTTTTCAAATAAATGCTGTTTTTTGTACTTTATATTCATCAAAGAATGAATAGAATTAATACAATGAATAAAAAAATGTATCATGGTGTTCACAAAAATATTAATTGGCACAACTGTTTTCAACATTGATTGTAATAAGAAATGTTTCTTAAACACCAAATCAGCATATTAAAATGATTTCGGAAGGATCATGTGACACTTGAGGCTGGAGTAATGACTGCTGAGAATTTAGCTTTGTTTCACAGGAATAAATTATATTTTAAAATATATTAAAATAGAAATCAGTTATTTATCGTAATAATAGTTGAGAATATTAATGTTTTTTAACTCTATTTTTTTATTTAAAAAAAAAATCCAGTTTTGGTAAGCATAAGAACATTTTCCTTCAGAAACATTTATACCAACTCCAAACTTTTGAACGGTAGTATAAGTGTTAGTAAAACATTTTCAAATCCGCAATAACATCTGACAGGAATGCTATTCAAGTCTAAATTTTCCATCATTATCTGTCCTCAGTCTCTAAATCCTACTAAACAAATCAATCTCACTGTGAGTGAAAGTGAATGTTGCTTTGTTTTTCCATTCCAGAACCAAAGAGACCAGAACTACACGGTTCTGAAGACCAAAGCCCACACAATGACAGTGGAAGGACTGAAGCCGGGCACCACCTATGTGTTCAGAGTGAGGGCGCGCACTGATGGAGGCTACGGCAACTACGGTGGGGAGATAGAGCTGGAGACCAGTCATGAGGGTAATGATTTTATACTTTTCTCAGCAGTTTTCTTTTTCTTTTACTTTCTCCCTAAGACTTTTTCTCTTTCTTTCTTCCACTTTATTGATGGTTCATCAGTAGCATACCGCAAATCTTTCGTGGGCCCACCGCAAACCAGCTCAAATAGAATCACTGTGAGGAGATAGTGATGTTATTTTGGGCATTTTAACCTCCGTTTTTGTATGAATTCTTTATTATGCCTTTTCTGTGTTTCCATGCAGTAGTTTCAGTTATTTCTAGATTTTTAGACAGGGTCGGTAAGATTTTTTAAAATGTTTTTAAAAAAGGCATTTATTTAATTTCAATAAATGTATTGATTTGATCAGAAATACAGTAAAACAGTAATATTGTGAAATGTAATTATCATTTAAAACTTTAACTGTAATATATTTTCAAATGTAATTTATTCCGGTGATGGCAAAGCTGAATTTTCAGCAGCTATTACTCCAGTCTTCAGTGTCACATGATCTTTCAGAAATCATTCTAATATGCTGATTTGGTGCTAAAGAAACATTTTTATCAATGTTGAAAACAGTTGTGCTGCTTAATATTTTGTGGATTATTTGATTAATAGAAAACTTAAAGTGTGTGACTTATTTACCAAACCTCCTGCTTATGCTCTTTGGGGGGTGAGCACTGTGTCGCCATATCTTGTGAGGACAAACAAGGCTATGTTGAGTATGTTTCTTTATGTGGATAAAAGAATGGAGGCACATTTTAAAAGGCTTTGGGGCATATGGTAAACACAGATACCTTGTGGTATATGCACCTAATTTAAAGCACGTTACGGCCCAGCGAGCATCTCTGGAAGCATATCACAGAGCTCAGCGGACCTGATCTGCCAAGCTGAAAATTAACGGAGTCCAGTATAGTAATTGCTCTTTTAATTATATGAGATATTCTTAAGCCTTTGGCTCACGGTGACATTCATAAACGGCTTACACCGCGTGCATTTGTTCATACAAACATCAGAGCAGAACGGGCAGTACTGTAAATTGCATGCGTTTAGTCTGATAATGTAGAAAAATCCCTTTATGGAACCATTGGCTAGAAGTTAGGTTATTATCATTTGGAATTAAATTTTAATTACATTTTTCTTTAAACGTATCTTTGTAACTTTCACTTATTGTTAGTTTTAGTTTGCTTTTAATTTTTACAGAGTACTATAGTTGTAATTTATTTATTTTGTTAGGGCTGCTAAAGTTAAGCTGCATTAATAGTATCTAATGGCATTTTCATGTTTAATGCAAGTTGGTTGTAAAGGTTTCCAGTTTTTTATAAACCATGAATCTTGCTTGCCTTTTTCCCCCAGTCCTGTTCTTTCTGCTCTCAATGTCTTTTCCGATCATATCTCTCATTGTCCTGTCAAAATAAGTGTCAAAAAAGGGCAAAAAAAGTCTTGGTATGATCATATAGCTGTTATTCCTATTTAGCAAACTTCATGCGTCTGGTCCTGACTCAGAAAGTTGCAATCTCTTTCTGCATGTGGTGCATACCTGAGATTTTAAATGGAGTCGAATGGAATTCTAAACCAATTCCTGTTGCTGGAGATATTCATTTCCCTGAAAGAGGCGGTTACTCATGCATTGCCAGGCTTGATGAATGTTGTATTTGTTTTGAGTAATGAGTTGATTGCGGCAGCATAAAATCCATATTCTCGCCATGAAACTTTCAAACCAAGCCTGTTATTCCCTCTGTTAACATACCTATTTGGATGGCATGTGTAAATTAGAAAATTGACTCCTGCCTTCGTCTACATATTTAGTGGCCGAATGCAGCTGGTTCTGGTTTTTCAGAGCGAACCAAAGCAAAGTTTGACATTGAAGCTAAATATTTAACCCTCTTTGGGGTCTAAGATACCACATACTTAAAAAAAAACATACTTTGTTGATAACATGTTCAAAGGTTTTCCGTGAAAGATGTAACATTACTTGTTTGGTATAAAACATTAATAGGCTAAATGCAATAAATTTTTCACAACCAATGTCACTATACTGCATAAAAATCTATATTTTGAAAAATGCAAGTCTACTTAAAACAGAAATAAACAAGCCTGTTTTAAAACAGAAGGTTAAAGTTTCAGTATTGTTTATTTTAGTTTTGTTGTTCTTCTTATTATTAAATACGTATATTTTATTTTACATAACAATAGTATTATTACAATAGTAATGTATTTCTTTATTGATTTGTTTATATTTATCATTTAAATAATAAAATAATGCATATCAATAATAATAATATTAATAGTATTAGTATAGATGGGTGGGGTGGGATGAATGTCTGAATATCTTTCTTGTGGGTTTTGATTAAGTCAGAGGAATTTATTGGGGACTTTGAGGCCAAACAGAAAAAGAGTCAATCTCAAAAACAGAACATGAGGGTTAACATTGATGCAAATTTTTCTTTTCCTCCCTCTTTAGATATGCTGGCCATTGGGGACCCTAACCAGTCCACAATCCTTGCGGTGTCCGTAGCCGGTGGCATTGTGCTCCTTATCTTCCTGGTGGCGTGTTTTGTAGTAAGCGGACGGTAAGAATAGTCTTCCTTTTAAGACCATCTGACCTTTGCTTCAGTCACTCTGTCCTTCTAAACCATCTTGGAGGAAGGTGTACTGGTTCTGAGGGCTGATATTAAAGAGCAAAATAAAATGCTTCTGTTCGTTAGATCTGAGAGCTGCTGTCAGATGGCAATTTTACAAGAAATTGAACTTTGAATTAGAAAATTAAGTGTGGATTCTTCCATGCCGAAGCATTTAAAAGAACTAGAACAGCCCATACAGGCACTCGGTGAGGTGTGTCTTATAGGCTTCTAAAAACCAAGAAGAAAGCGTTTGAAATTGAAGTCTGAGGAGACATTTTGCACAGCATCTTTGCTATTCAAACAATAGCTGAAGCAGAAAAGACGGTGCAGTCAGTTGGGTGAAACGTACTGAGCCTATAAATTAATGCTGATAATAAATATACTCTGACTAAATTAAATAGCGGTTTCTTTGTCGAACAAAGCTTGCCCGAAGTCTCTAAAAACATTAGTATTGATCTGAGGTGATTGCCTATCATGCTGAGTGCCCTATTCAGTATTGACTAGAAAAGACCCATGTTTGCCTGCTGAGAGCATGTAGAAATGCACGTAATGGATTCATGTGCAACAAATAATTAATCTCAAACCACTCAACTATAAACCAAAACAATAAATATGTAAGACTGGAATATGCAAGACCAGAAAAAGTGGCGTACTAGAGCGATTCTCGACAAGTTTTACTCACAAGCCAGTGCAGCTTCATGCATTTCCAGTTAGAGCTCTCTGTCCGGAGTGAAAGCTGGAAAAACAGAATGTGTTGATTGGTGCTCCTCAGATAACTGTAAAAGAGGAAGACAAAAGTGGTGAAGAACAGAAAAAGAGAAGGATGGGCGATTTGTGAAAATGGCTAGTAGTCTCATGTTTTTAGCTCTAATATTTTTAGGGCCAGTGTTTGAATTTTTTTAAATGGAGGATTTTGGAGAGGATTTTGACAGTGTGTTGTCTTTACTGTGCTGTTGGACTGTCAGCACATCAGACACTTTCAGAGGTATTGCATCTCTAAATTCCTCTCCTTTGAGGTGTCGTAAGAAATTCAGTGCCTTTAACAATACATTTCAACACAATTACTGTCAGATTTCAAATCGCCTGCTTTGAGCAATTTTCCTGGCAATGCTCATCCGTATGGCTGACGTTTTTTGTGCAGACTATGATTTGTTTTGTTATTTAGTGCATTTGCTAAATATTTGTCTTCTTGCATTCAGTCTGTGCTATTTTTGTAAATATTGGTCTACGAATATTAACATTCAAAAGTTTGGGGTTGGTGTTATTTTTTTTAAAGAAATGAATTCTTTAATTCAGCAAGGATGCATTAAATTGATCAAAACTGACAGTAAAGATTTACAAAATAATCTCTTTCAAATAAATGCTGTTTTTTTTAACTTTCTATTCATCAATGAATTTGTTTCCACAAAAATATTAAGCACCACAACTATTTTATACATTAATAATAATATGAAAGGGTTCTTGAGCACCAAATCAGCAGCATTAGAATAATTTTTCAAGAATCAGCAGGAATCGCTGTTGAATAAAAAAAAAAAAATCAATAAACTATTAAAATAGAAAGCAGTTATTTAATTTGTAATAATAATTCTCAATATTTTTACTGTACTTGGTGAGCATAAGAAACTTCTTTCAGAAACATTAAAAAAATCTTACCGACTTTTGAACGCTGTTTTGTTGCATCTTGTGCTGTTTTTAATAATCTTGTACATTTATTACATTTAAATTGCAATGTCATGCTAAAATAGCTCAGCTTAAATGGTAGACATGACCATAATATTAGGCCTAATTAAATAGGGCTTACATAAGTCATTCAGACGTACTGTTGTAATGTGTTAGAAAAACTATACTGTAGACTCTCTAACATATTGCACATATACAGTCTTTCCCACAAATTCGAGGCCCCCAAATGTATTTGTATTATTCCACCATGTGCAGGTTTGCCAGAAGATTATTCCTTTGGCTACGGGCCTCAGGCATAAGTCTCCACTGTAACACAGCTGTCTGACATACTATAGAAAGATTATGCAAACTGTATCGTTCTTCAGAGAGGTCAGACCTCAATAACCCCTGCCAGCCAGCTATATGTCCTCAAGCTGAACCGTTGGCTTACTTTCAAACATTGAGAATAGTTTCATTTCATGCAGCTCAGGATTTCAGGGCGAGAGATCAAACAACATAATCACCTCACTGCTCCTCATGTCTTGGTCTGCTAAAATCCCACTTGACCCGTTGAGATCGATTTTGTTTCCTCTTGCCATTAGGTCTTTATAGCTGCCAAGTATATCCATCTTTTTTATAAGAATCACACCAGGGAGAAAGAAAGAATGAGGAAACAAATGACGAGTGAACGAATGAGAGAACGAACAAATGCATAAACAAGCGAACAATTGAATGAAAGACTGAGCGAAATCATAAACAAACATTAAAAAACAAACAAGCGAACAAACAGTAGCAGAGTGGCTGGTTAGACTTGCAGTATTCAGCTTGTTTTACTTCATTATTTTCTGACTCTCTTCCCCATACTCCTCTTCTCTCTCTCTCTCCCTCCCTCCCTCCTTTTCCCTTTTCTGTCTGTAAGAACATGAGCAATATTTTGCTAAGGCTACGGCACCGTTAGCATATTTTTGTACTTCACCTGGCTCACAGAGATTTATTTAGAGATTTTAACATCAGCATTGCCTGTTCCACCGCTATAATTTGCGTAGCCTACAAGAAAGACTGAGGCTGGGATCTATGCTTTAATATAATCGTTTGAAATACAGCTAATTATAGGGTCATTCCCCTTGTTGAATGAAAATAGGCGAGCATGATTAGCATACCATAAAAATGCATTTTTGTAAACAGTCATATAATCAAATGCTCAATAATAAAATTATAAGTGCACTGGTTAATAGAAATAAAGTTTTAGTTGGAGCAATTAGTGCACAAGCTATTCCTTTCTCTTCTTTCCATTCGCTGTGATCTCTTTACTTTTTGTGTGAATAAAATAGCAGCTGAGATCAAAATAAGTAAATAAATAAATAATGCTATTTTAATTTGCTTGTTCAGTGCACCAGGGACTTGCATTGGCTGACAGAATACAGCATATTTGTGGTCTTGTATATGGACAACAGGAGAAACTGGCATGTGTTACAGCAGGCAGATGGTGTTCAGTCATCAAATTCGGACAACTTAATTTTTTTTTTTTAAGTCTGTTTCCCTAAAAAGCAATTAAAACATGGCAGGTGGGTGCTAACGGCTGGGAAACTCCAGCAAGTTTAGCTCTTCAACTTATCAAACATCACAGCTGCTCTCATCATTGCCAGACAATTATTTTTGTTTTCAACTTATGAGAAAGTTGGAAAATCTATTTTACTCCCATGCATGTCTAACTCTCTCTATCCTTTAGGATAATCTCTTTTAAGCCGTATCCTACACCGTATGCTACACATGCCAATATTTGTCTTTTAATTACATTTTTAATATTTTCTGCTGCATGCAAATCAAGCAAGCACATTCTTTTTTAAATAATTATCAATAGCTACTGTATTATTTTTTTAAATATTCAATAAATTAGTCATATGAATTGCACTATTATGCATCTCAAAGGTGGACTCATTGATTTTCCATCATTTAAATAGTTGAGGAATAGTTCAGGCAATAATGAAAAAATCAGGCCATCCAAGATGTAGATGAGTTTATTTCTTCATCGGAACAGATTTGGAGAAATTTAGCATTGCATCACTTGCTCACCAGTGGACCATCTGCAGTGAATGGGTGCCGTCAGAATAACATTACATCACTTGCTCACCAATGGATCCTCTGCAGTGAATGGGTGCCGTCAGAATGAGAGCTCAAACAGCTAATAAAAACATCACAATAATCCACAAGGAATCCACAAATTTCCATTTCCTTTAAGGTGTTTTAACTTTAAATCATCTAAGTTAATTGTACTTTTAACAAATGTTTAAAATTGTATAGTGAATTGTTAGTGGCCTACATATTTACTATATGGGGTAGGCCTCATGGGAGCACTATTATTGGACACTTTTGGAATAAATTAATTGAGGAAAATAAAGCATTCCTACAATGGCATAAGTAACTGTAACCATTGAAAAGTATTTACATGATAATGATTTCCCAGGCATGTCTAGTTAAAAGTGCATGCTTGTTCTAGAGAAAACAAATTGGGATTTTAATTCCTAGAGCTGCCATATTGTGCATCATGATTTTTCCCATTCGTTTTTTTCCCTCCTTATAATGTCTCTGGTCCACCTTTAAGTGTATACTGTGTGTTTAAACCACTCTACCTCCTTTTTCAGATATAGTCTGCCATGACAGTGGAAATACTTTGGGGTTCTACAAGAGATAATTTACTTATCTCCTTGATGACGCTAGTATGGCACAGATGGATTTGTCTCTGTAATAAAAGATGAAGTTTTTCAAGTCGATCTAATCAGAGAGATGCAGCAGCTCTTTGTCAATGAGATGTTATCTTCGAAGCATCTGCTACAGGCCTTGGGTTATTTTTAAAACTTAATGATGACAGGAAAGTGTGCTTCATACACTTACTCACTCTCATCATGCAAATAGAACGTTTCTCCCAAGAACCTAAAGCTGAGAGCACTTCATGCTCTCAAACTTGTTTTCGATAATTTTCATCCTCCTATTATCTGTCAAACAGGTTGTAGCGCTGCCATGTTCATAATGGATTTCTGCATGAAATGTTCCGTTTTACCTCAAGTGTGCTTGCGTATGGTAACATCGAATGACATCTTTGTTTGGCCAAATGGCACCAATTTAACAATTTGGCTCTTTGTTTTTCTGCCCTGGTACAAATGCATCTGTGCTGCTAGCAGACTCACCAAAGCACCTCTCCGTGCCTGAAATTGTAGCACAACTGACATAATGATGTTTTAGAGCCAAAACTGCTTGGAAGAGCTGTCCCATTTTAAAAGCTGGAATGGTGA